GAATTCATGTAGCACCAAGAAACACAGGATTTATAATATTTGAGATAATAAGAGTAATGATTTATCCTCCATGAATTTTCAGGGGTTTATATACAAATAGCAAGAATTCAATATAAGTCCCTTTTAAAAGGCAAAGGTTAAAAAATCTGTGCATGCCTCTCACCACGTCTCCAATTTGTTGAGCTAGCAATTGACCCTATGGTAAAAGACCCATGCGTGGTAAGTAACATAGTACGGTCCTATCTGAATATGATTTCTTATTCATCTTGTCTCATTCATGTAATTTACACCTCAATTAAAACACCACTCTATCTGCAAGTTATATATCTCCCTAAAATATCCTGCAATTCAGATTTCCATTTAGACAACCTTCCTCTCCTCCCCTTTCCTCGAATCAGTGTGATCTAATGGTATACCTCATTAAATTGTTTGGTGTTTCTCCCTTCAGTGAAACTCCCCCTTAACTCAAGGTATTATAATGCAAATACAGATGAAGCATAATTAATATATTAGAAAAAAAGGATAATAAGTACATATGGATCCATGCTAAATGAGACAATACAAAGCAAAAAACACACAGTACCATGCTATGCTCATCTATTCTGAACCACAAGAAGGAGCCCTGGCTCATGTAAACTGCTACTCCCAGACATCCCCAGTGTCCTGTACTCCAACATAATTATCTGTTCTGTTCAAGACATTTCCCTGTTTATCTCTGTTTGTTCAAAAAAGTCTATAGCAACTTTGACTCCTAAACCTGAATATGATGATAAATTAGGAACACGTTATATTTTTAACCAAGTCTAACCTAAGTATTTTCTCCTATTACCCATTTGTTTAAAAACAGATATTCAGGGGGCTAACCAACATAAAGTTGAGGGGTTTTTAAGCTCTGCCTTCTCTTGACTAGTTGGGGATTTCAGATGTGTCATTTAACTATCCTCTGCTTCAGTGAAAAAGGATTCTGCAAGCAACTGACCAAAGATCCTCATTTAAAAACCAAGCAGGTTGACCCAGTGGTCGGCAGGTGAAGAGCCCTTGTCGACACACTCCATCCACAACACTCCATCCTCCTGCAGGAACACGATCCCGACCCACCATCAGCACAACACATTCCATCCCTCAGCCCAGATGTACCCAGAACACACAGCAGAATATGAAG